TTGTCAACTAGAAATACATGGAAAAGAGATTTCAACTCTAAAGAAATCTCTCCATGGGATGCATAAAGAATAGAAAATGATGTAACATTATTATGTCTTTATTTTTTATTTGAACATATTTTGTTTATTGTATTATAGTTGACATCTTACATACGATTTTAATCTGCTCGATGAGCAAAGGACGAGAAAAATAATGCCAAAAGCAAAAGGTATTGTTATTGAGTAAAAAGATGGAAAAGAGATATTAGCATCAAACAATATTGATAATTAAAACCAAGGTCGAACGGCTGCCGATTGTAACTATGAATCAGTTTAGATAAAATCAATGTCGATATATTATGAACTTTCACACATCGTACACATAAAAGCGACATTCAATTAATTTGATTAAATAACAATGAGAACTTCGGAAGGGATATGTTTAACATGTTCAAAAAAATTTTCTTCACATTTTCTATTTCTATTTTGAAGCACAATGTTTTACTATAGTGTCTAAGTTGTTGTTGAACAAGCTGAAAAAGTTTTAAGCGTGAATCATAGACGATTCAGAAAGAATAGAATAGTTGCAATTAATCGATTAATTAAAGCTTGTGTCTCCGAAGAAAAACTTCTAACTATAGACAATACTTTATCGTAGCATTGAAATAATAACAAATGACTTTCATCTTGAGAATGATACATTTTATCCTTTCAATTTATTAAAACAGCTAAAATTTGTTTTTAGTGAACTTTTTCTTTAAAATTAGATATAGTCAGTTTAATATACGTATCTTCATTAAGGGATCAATCTGTTTTTCATTTTTGAACAAGTGACAAAAAAAATTTTTTACCTTCCGGTTGTTTTTTTAGTACTCATCAGTATGATGATAGAACAATCTAAATTGTTAATCCATACACATATATATATTAATATATGGAAATAAAATCGCTGTACAATCGATAGGTATGTTGATAAATTTGTTAACAAGTAACAGAGGTAGATCAGCTGTAGTATAGGGAGAGAAATGGTGAATGAAAAGCGGATTGTTCATATCATACGTTGTGTTGTCTTGTGATAAATGTGCGTTTAATTATACCTAACATACTCATTAATAAGTTTAATCGTTTAAATGACAATTCAAAATCATCATTAACATTTGACAAAGCGTTTTGGAAGAAAAGAAATGTTAACAATAAACTGATTCGTTGTTTAATGAGAAATTAAAACTATATCTTGAATTGAAACGGAAATATTTAGATGACACTGTATGCATGGATTTCACTAGAGAAAAAAGACTATATATATATATATATATATATACAAGACATAGTATAATGGGTCACGAAATTCATTGCTGATGGATAATAGCTTTTTCTTGAGAAAAAAATAACTTTTTTCAGCTTTTCAATGAATAGGATAAGTGTAGGCTCCAAGAAGTTTTAAACTTGTTTTCTTTGTTGGGTTCATCCATCATTCTACAAAAGTCACGAATATTAATCCGAAATTTTGTACCAGATAATTCCAACATTGATCAATGTGGTTGATGATAAGAAGATCAGTTGTACAAGGTACTGGTCTATAAAATTTCAATAGCTGAAATTTCTATTAAAATTTATGCCGTTCTTTTTCAATGTTGTGTTAGAACATATAATGATAGATAAAAATCAAAATGGGTTAATTATTGTCATTCCGAAAAAATATACGTAATAGCAAAATTTTCAGTAATTATTATGAGATGAATCGCGTATTTCTGCTGATTTTATCTTCTTCAAACGCTCCGATTAATCTTCTCGAAATTATGCACTTTAATTTAAAATGAAAAAGCTCGTCGAGAAACGACTAATTAAAAATCCCGTTGATCTCAAAAACTTAATTATTCATATAATATTGGTACTCTAAAGAAAATGAGAAAAAATATGATGTGTTTTTCGTGTCATATAAAAATCAATGTGTATGTTTTCTTGTTCTACATGTTTCCGTGCATGTATCTTTTTTTTTATATAAAAAATACACCAACTGTGTTCTCATTATTCAGTTGTACTTTGATTTGTTTTCTTTGCATCTATAACATATTTAATTCTAAAAGCGATTATAAATACACACACACACAACGTCTGTTTCTTATTCGGTCTCAGAGGCGGCGGAACCGTAGGGACTGTGGGTGTCTTGGCATTTTCAACAGTTCGAACGATGTGTAATGAAAAGTGAACTTCACGTCCAAATATTTCGGCTAAATTGCTATGCATAGATTTTATTGTATAGTTCATCGTGTAACTAAACGCTAGCTAGTTTTTGAATTCCAACTAAGGATTCTTTCTGTAGGAATTTCAAAAGTGGTACATCTGTCTCAGGAAAGAATTTCAATTCATCTCATTGTAAACTTCTTTAACAAAAACCTTTCCAACGCAAAAAGATCGACGTTCAGAAAAGATCTCAGTACGTAAAAATCGAGAAAACGCAATCTTCTCGCACCAGAAAAGGAATATCTTTTCATGAATCCTCTGCTGCACAGAATATAGCCTAAGATACCTTTACCAGTGATGGATTCAACCACCGTATGATTTACTAAGAATTTTTTCTCAGCAAAACTGTCTCAGAATAATTGATTTCTATGATGACTGCACCTATTACACACTTTTATAGTACCACATATCAAAAATAAAAAATTCTGGGTCCACTACTGACGTATACAGAATTAAGTCAGGTTAGTATAAACGATAGAGTAGATGAATATAGATTTCGTATTTGTTTTTATTCCCATTAAGATGCCCTTTTCTCTTTCTTCTGGCCAAAAGCGAATGATACAAAATTGGAAGGAATGAAACCTTGCTTATTCGCCTTACTTGGAATACTTACAAAATATTCAAATAGGTTGATTCTAGAAAAATATGCAAGAAACAAAAACGTTAACATTCTAGGATCTGGATGTTTAGGAAAGCCAAATTTTCAAAGCATAATAATTTTCTCGTAACAGATATACATAGTGTCCGTACTAGATATCAAGAAATGATGTTAACAGAGCTTTTATTCTGGTCCAAGAAGGAGAGAGAGGAAAAGAAGAGACATGGCGAACTGACCAACCAGAATACAGTGCGTAGAAAAAAAGAGACCAATAAAACAGAACAGAGCAAAATGATTCTTACTATAGGTATTTGTCTCAACAAATGTTTTTTTCTTTTTCTGGTCCTGTATTACAACGTAGAGAACCATGCAACGAATGAAATTTGAGACATTCAGATTTAAACTGTCAAATAAGAGATAGAAAAATAGATATCAACTATGTAGATTCTTTTTCGATTAGTTAAAGTAAAGATAAAATGACATGTTTTTCTCATGTTAGTTAGTGAATGAATATTATTATTGATAGACTCGAGTTTTTTTTTGCTCAAAACGTACTAATTATTAGCTAGAAAATAAGAGTCGGAAAAATATTTTCCTAGAAATTAGATTATCTGGGCGTATTTTAAAGGCGTTTCCAGCGTATAACGAAAAGAATTTACATTTTTTTTCTACTAGAGAGAGAAATAGATATGCTACAATTTTGAGGAGAAAAAAAGAATGATATCAATAATGATACAGCTGATACATACGAGGTGATCAGTAACAATACGATTTTTCTTCTCATATTCATTTTTACAACCGAGCAGAAATTAGAAGAACAAAGCACTCACTACAGCTCGTTATTATAGACAGAATAGAGACGTTCATGCTGTGTTTCCTGGAAGTTAACGCCCATGGCTGCATTAATAACAGGGGTAAGTGTATGTTGTTACGATATATATTCATATACTAGTAGCGATAGTATTTGTCATTCTTTAATATCTTATGTAAATTCAATACGGTCCAAATATCAGATGAGGTTGAAAAAGCAGAACCTCCATTTTCTATACGTTAGTTCATTTGTTTTCGTGCGTGCATGTCGGATCCCAGTGGTAAACTTCTACTCTAATTTGTTAAAGAATAAGTTACCCTTACAACTGTGGATAGCTTAAGAAAACGCAATGATACTGTTTCAATCTGATATCACGAGATGAAAGATATTTTTCGCTTATTGGATAAATGGCTTATCCATCTATGCCTATTAGAGACCAATATTATGAAATTCATCTAAGCAAACTGGAACATATCATCGTACTAAAAAAACCTGGATGACTAGTAAACAGTATCAAATGTGGCTTTTTCATCCTATCCTGTCAGAATAAAGAAAATAAAAGTAGAATTACATACTGGTATTTAGTTGCTCCAATGCACAAAAATTTTAATAAGTTAAGACGGATTGCAAGAGTATAATCAAGCTTCATCTCAGTTAACCATGGAATAAACACAACGATCAGTAATCTCATTAGTAACTTCAGTTTTTTTCTAATCATGGTTTGTCAGTACAAAATATAACTCTGTAGAACTCAATGTAAGCTCTCTTTTACTTTATTTCTGGACAACGTTGTGGAAAACCCTTATAAAACGAACACACACAGACTATACAATTAAAGTATGAAACTGGTACACTCTATTTTTTGTATATTTTTCATTCACCACTTTTGTGTCACGAAAAGCAAACTGTGACAAAAAAAGTAGAATATATCAAATTGAAACAGGTTCATTTATTTGTTATAGTATGTATACTGACAACATACATTCCCTTTTTTTGTTGGTAATTGTGCATATAAACAGCATTTTGAAAGAATAAGAAAGAAAGAAGAATAAATAACAATCGCAGACCAGAACCCCCATCGATCTTTTTTCAATGGTATCAATCAACCGAATACTCCTTAATTATTAGGTAGTAAATAGAATATGTGAACACATTAAGTCTGCTCTAAAAATGTTGCAACAATTCTAGTGTATATATTTGTGTTTGATTGATTTGCAATATCAAATATCACCAGTCTTTTTTTAAATTGCTTTGTTCAATCATAATAAATATATCAAGGGCTTATATTAAACTTATACACTTTTTTTCTTGCAGGACTCTTCTAACACACCGTTGGCAATGTTAGCATCACAATGTAATAAAATATCTATGAATAACTCAAAATACTCTCAAATAACATCGACAAACTCATGTGAAATACCACGCACAAGTTTTTATGCTTGGAAAAAACCAAATTCAGCAACTACAACACCTCCACAAACGATATCACCACAGCCTCCATCATCTTATCAAAATGTAATCCCAGTTCCATCCCAACGTGTTATTCCCTCAACGTCGAGCAGAGCGTTAAATCCTCCAAGTGATTTGTTTTATTCAAGCTTATCATCTCATATGCATAACAATAATAACAACAATGAACAACAAGATTCAACATCACCATCATCAATTGTCAATTCTCTAGGTCGACTTCGACAAGAGGCAGCTCAAGCGGCATACGAACATGTTTTATTAAACGGCAGTGGACATCATCTAACGTCATCGATCAATGATTCCCCAAATTGGCTCAACAGCCATCCATGGTCAAGTGAACCACAACCGCAATTAATGTTTCCTTCTAGTAGAAATACAAATGATAATCAATTTAGTGGATCTTCTTACACTGATCTATTATCAATTGGTCATTATTCAGACAACAGTTATCGAAATGAATTTCGTTTGTTTCCTCCTCCACCTCCGTCGCTGCCTCCACATCACTACCATCCTCATGGTCATCAACTTCAGCAAAACAATCATACACCCACTCCGTCATCTTCTACTCAACAACAACAACAACAGCAACAGCAGCAACAACATCAACAACAGCAACATCAACTAGTGAACAGTTCAAATACAGCTGCTGCCATCGTTGCAAATGTAAAACAACCAAAAAGTAGTCGTGCTCAGTGTGATTGTCCAAATTGTCGCGAAGCCGATCGTTTGGGACCAGCTGCTGCTCATTTACGAAAACGAAACATACACAGTTGTCATATACCAGGATGCGGAAAAGTTTACAACAAAACATCTCATTTGAAAGCACATTTAAGATGGCATACAGGCAAGAAAATGAAAACATTACGTTAAACTAACAACATCACTTATAGAAAAAAAATTATGCACACACATTTTTTTTGTGTTGTCAACTAAACTCTCATTTGAATTAAAGTACGACAGAAACTAAATTTCAGTAACAACACATAAATTACGGATATTCTTGGTTTTTGAGAGAAAAAATTTGAACGCTTAAGTAAATGACTTGAGCGATGATAACAATCATGTAGATTTAGAATTTAGAAAATCCACTATTATTAAAAGTTACCGTTTGAATTTGACCGATTATTTTCGAAGAACTTTTTGTTTGCTAAATGGGTACGTTTTTGTCGTACCATAAAAGTTAAAAATTTATTTTCACCATCATAAGCAAATATAATACCCCATTCAGATATACTAGAAAACATTTCTTTCTGTTCATGATGTGAGAAAAAGTCTAGTTTCTTGTCTTATTATTGAAAAATAATCACATAGATAATATTGTCGTAAACTGATCAAAATTTGAGTTAACTACTGATATACAACGATAGCATTTTTTCTGAGGCGACATTGCAATTTTCCATGTTAATATAAAGATTATGGAACAAACGATGAAGTGACAAAAGCCGCATTTTTTTCTCATACCTGTGAAAAATGACACATCGATGATTTTAAAGGGATGTATCCTGCTGATTAACACAAAATTCAATAGTGTAAACACATCATCATCGAGAAAGATCAGTGTGAAATAAGTTTAAATTATTAATTATATCAATTTCTTTATGTTTTATTAGGCGAGCGACCATTTGTTTGCAATTGGCTATTTTGTGGAAAACGCTTTACGAGATCGGATGAACTTCAACGGCATCTTCGAACGCATACAGGTTTGTCATGTTTATATTCGTACGCAGAAACAATATTTTAAATCTAATAAAACTACTAGCGTGTCTAAGTTAATTTAGTTCTCTAATTTGTTACCTATGCACTCTATATAATTTAGAGAATAATTTATATACACAGCAATTTTAAAAACAAGTCGATCAAATACGCCCACGTTTCAAAATATTCTAATGAACATTGTACCTAAATCATCTCTCGTTTTATCTGAAGGCTAATCGTATATAGAAAATATGACAAACATATATTTCGAAAAAATGTTGAGATAATTAACTCAGTTGGCAAGTCTATTATTTATTGAATTGTTCATGCGTAGATGATCATACGGTTAGTTCTATATTGAACATCAATCAATCAAATAATAAGACCTTGATTGTTAGAATAGACAGATAATCTACGTCATCAGAGATCATGTATAAATAACCTTCAGGTTATAAAGAGAGAACTTTTCTATATACAAACAAGTTTTGCTATTACGTAACATATTTAAATATCTTATTTTAGGAGAAAAACGATTTGCTTGTCCAATTTGTTCAAAACGATTTATGCGTAGTGATCATTTGAGTAAGTTAAATCTCAATATTTCTCTTCTGAATGATATTAGTTCACATTGTTTGCCTGTTTAGATAAACATGTTAAAACTCATTCCATAAATTCCATAAATGATACAAATCCAATACGAAAAACGGATTCTGATTCAGAAAATAGTCGAGAAGATAACCATCGTTTAATGCAAGATATTAAACGTGAACCAAGAATGCATGAATAAAAAATTATTATTACGTTAATTGAATTGAACTTTGTGACTTTTTCCCTTTTCTATAATACAAGATCAACAAAATTTTCTTTTTTTGATTCAATTCAATGTAAGCGTATATCGCTCAACTATTTTTTTCTTTTGTGATTATTTTTCTTGTCTAATATTTAGTCTGTTATATAATCATCTTTAATTTTAAGAAAACACATATCGAAGTGTAAAACATGTTAAAAGCCTATTGGATTAGGAATCATTAGTTAGTGTCGTCTTTCGTTTTTTTCTACAAGACGTTTAAATATGCATAAAGCAACTAAAATAATTTCTGACACAGTAGAAACCAAATAAACACAAGTAGGTCTTCATTTTATCGACTTATATAATTTTTATGCTAGAACATAGAGGATTTTATTTAGATTTTCGCTATATGTTTATTATTAAAATTAGCTTTTGTCGCGGCTTTCCTGCATTAAAAGTACTGAAAATCAAAAAACCATCTATTGCTCAGTGTTGTGTAGAATTTCTAGCTGTTTAATGGTTTTGACGCGCAATTCAAAGCGCGATATATGGGATGCACTGAAACGGGGTACTCGATATTACAACAATTATCCTTACGTACGAACAGAAACCGTTTCGTTCTTTGATACATTTCTTTCCTATAGAAGTCATTTTTTTAAAATTTCCCATTAGAAAAGTCTTGCGAATCTTATAATAAAAGAATTTTTCGTTGTAATGAAGATAATGATTATACTCAATCTACTGTTTATACGTCATTTTTCCACGAAATTAAATAATTCTATTGAAATTGTAAGATCCGGAAGACTTTTTTCTAATAAGAAACGTTAAAAAAATGACTTCTACAATTAAATCTCACAAACTACTCTATCAAAGATTGTAGAGTGGATGTTCTTAATTCACGAAAATTTAACGCCGGCATTTCACCTTTATTCTTGATAAATTTCTTCATAAACTATCAGGTGTTTTTATATCTCCCAGTAGAAGAAACCACGATGAATTTAATGGCAAAAAAAGCTAATTTTTTTGATCTCTAATGAACAAGTCATCCCGGTATATTGAATGGAAATATGCCCGTTGGAATTAGCGGTTTTCACTAATAGAAGCTTTACAGTAGTCGGAAGTTAGTTAATTATAAAGCGTATAATAGCAGTTCTTCGATACAACCCTAAGCTATCACAGTTCCTTAATGATTGATTTCATCGTCTTTTTTCTAGAAAGTAATTTCTTCAGAAAGATAAAACATTCTAAAGTTATAAATTTTATTCCACTGCAAATTTTGAGATCGAAGAAAATGGTTCGAGATCTTTTTTTACTTGAAAATAAGTGAAAAAAATGAGTTTTTGCTAAAATTCTTTAAAGCAACAAGAATATCATGAAGGAGATTACTCGAAGCTTGGAATTTTGTGATCATAGAGAGTTTCATGTGCTCTATCGAATGAACTTTGAACGAAACTCTAATATTTTATCGTTAAGTGAAAAAATATATTTTAAATTTTTGTCAACATTTCCTTAAAACATGTATATCTCCCCGAGCATACGTTTCCGCCTCCTGAAGGATTGAGATTCGGATAGAGCTCAAAATTCTGAGTATATACAAACATTTTGAGCATATGTTTT